AAGCATCAGTTCATTTTGGTGCGATTTTTTCCTAAAGTATGGTTTCTCGCTCTGACGATGTGTATCACATGGCATACGAAAGCCTAGCAGTGATTCATTGGAATCGCTGGAAGATGAGTCGGGGACCTCTTGGCACAATCTATCAGTCTTCAATTAACGAAAATCAATTCTGCTTTTTGTTTCGGTTAGACCAATTCACTAATTCCTGTCAACCAATTTTTCTCTCGAAATGGAAATTCGGTTGCAGTTTTGGAAAAGGAATTTTTTAAAGGACAACAAGATTTGGCCACAAAAAAAGAAATTATATTTTGTATGCGTGATGAGTGCGCCTTAAGACTTTGCATAAATCTATGCTATATTTTGTCGCCTGTGGTCAGATGGAAGGAGTGGAATTTGAATTTAACATTACATTCGAAGGTATGAAGACCAAGATGGTGTGGCCTTTTGTGTGGTCGCAGTCTCCTTGCGTTGTATATAAGTTGTTTGACCTTGTTTTCGCAACTTGGTAATATTGGTAGGACTTAGAGGAACACACCTAGTCGGGAGTCCACTGTATGCATCATCATGTCCAAAGTAGGACCATGGACGTGGTACATTCCCAGACGTTTCGCCGGCATCGTCAGTGAGTCTCGCCATTCGTAGCACCATATTACAACTGTCTCTTTCACCAATATGACCGAGTTGCGAAAACAAGGTCAAACAACTTCTATTCAACGAAAGGAAACTGCGACCACACAAAAGGCCACACCATCTTGGTCTTCATACCTTTGACAGCTATTTTAATTGTGTGTTAGTATCTACTCGCAGGAGTTCCGTATTAAGAACTTAGTCAATCTAGGTCTCTCAAGGTGGTTCAACAACTGATTGTAACATTTTCTTGGAATGATACAAGCAGGTCTCGAGGGGCCCAACTACGGGAAGTAAGTTCATTTTGAGAATGTCTGTGGATGTCGAAACATATTCACATAGTCAATGAGTCTCGCCATTCGTAGCGCCATATAAGAACTCGTCAAAGAAAAAAGTGAAGCCGACCCTTTGACCAAACGTGTGCTAAACAGTTGTGGTATCGCCTCTTCTGCCCTGGCCTATTTACATTTCCTATATCCTCCAATCACGCCTTCACTGTCACAATATTTTACTTGCTTAACTAAATGTGGTACGGTGTGCCCTTTTGAGCGGCTTGCATGAAAACTCTCTGCACTCCACGCTGGCCTTCTCACCGCCCTCCATCCTTGTGCTGGGGATGTTGATCAAAGTTTGCCATATTGTTACGCAATCCTCCTTCCCTATGTCCTACAACAGTCTCTCTCTTGCCCCGTAGAATCCATCTGCGATCTCTCTGGTTCAAGTATTTCTCTCTATCTGCTATTCAAGGTGTTATGACCCCTTCTCTGCGGCTGAGTGACTAATTCAAGGTTAAAGCCTCCGAGTAAGTCTCATGGTCAGGCCTTTGCCACATGGCCCACGTCTCTTATCAAACCTACTGTCAGCCCACTAGCTCCCATTGCCGCCGCGTCTATCCTGTTTCTATCTCTAATACCAAGGTTATGACTTCCCATGCCCTAGTCTCTTGTATGCCAACCCACAAATATTGTGTTTATGCTTGCTTTGACTCGGTTTAATGTTGAACCACAACGTTTGTGTGTTGGCATACAAGAGACTAGGGCATGGGAAGTCATATAATTGGTATTAGAGATAGAAAGAGAATAGACGCGGCGGCGATGGGAGCTAGTGAGCTGACAGTAGTTTTTATAAGAGACATGGTCCATGTGGCAAAGGTCTGACCATGAGACTTACTCAGAGGCTTTAGCCTCGAATTAGTCCCAGCCGCAAAGGATGGATAATAACCATAACTGTTTAGCACACGTTTGGTCAAAGGGTCGGCTTCACTTGTCTCTTTGACGAGTTGTTGTATGGTGCTACGAATGGCGAGACTCATTGACGATGCCGGCGAAACGTCTGGGAATGTACCACATCCATGGTCCTCCTCTGGACATGATGATGCATACAATGGACTCCAGATTAGGTGCGTTCCTCTAAGTCTTCATACCAATATGGCCAAGTTGCGAAAACAAGGTCAAACAAATTCTATACAACGCAAGGAGACTGCGACCACACAAAATGCCATACCATCTTGGTCTTCATACCTTCGATTAGTATTGCACAGGGGCTGTATTGTAGAATCTATGTGCAAAAGTGATTTGACATCGTTTATGCGATATTTGACCATGGCAAGACGATCTCGATGGAGTCACCCCGTCTGGAGCACTCGACCACAAGTAACACGATCATTTCAAACATCGGAACAGAGACTAAGAACATTTTCAGGCGTTTCCCTGGCATCGCCAACAGGTCTTGCCACACTTAGTACCAAACTACAGCTTGTCAAAGAAACAAGTGAAAGTAAATCCTGTCAAATGAATGTCGTACATCTTTCTCTTCTGTCCCCTCATATCTTTCTACCTACTCCGTTTATATCACAACTTCCAACTTGCTTATGCTGAACCACTCAAGGAGTGTGCTTTTGGATCTGGTTACTTTGTCTCTTTCCTCTTTATTTGCCGAAATTGCTGGTATTTGTGTTTTGGGTGTTTTGGGTCTGCAAAGTACTTTATTCAGCTCATCAGAATCTTCCTCGTGGCCTTCAATATCCGTTTTTCATCTCATTCGTCGATTGATTTCACTCGGTTCCAGCCACTACATGCGATTTACTGAAGGCGTTATTTCTCATCGTCTGCCGCATGCATTTGGATAGTATGTCTACTGTAGCCTCACTGAGCAGGGCTCCAAGGTCCTGATTGTCTAAGTTTGCGAAAATCGTCCTTACGATATAGACCAGCTTCACATTGTGCTGCTCCTGATCTCAATTCGGTGAGTCTCATGGATTAGTCTCGTGATCAGGCATTGTCTCTACGACCCATCTCCATGATTCAGCCCGTGTACTCTGGGCTAACTGAGAACGCTTTTCCTCTGGGTAACGATAGGTCATTGATTAATGCGTCTAATTTACATGATTTTTCAACGAATTTGCCTGGTAAAAAAGTAACGTTTTCGCAAACGTTGACTTCTACTATCCTGTTAAGTGGATTTCTGTCAGCAAGGATATCGACGACCTTCCTAATTTTTCGTTTCCTCGTGATTTAGACGATGAGGCTTGTCACGTCGCCTTCCATTTGATCTCTTGTCACGTTGATTCACTGTTTCCCTTGATCTCTATGCTGATTTTTCTTACTATTTCGCCGATATACCTTGCTTACAATCGTCGCAAGTTATGCAATAAACTCCCGAATAATCACGTTTGTTCACCTTCTCACCTGGCGAAAGTAAGCATGTGAAGAGTTTTATCCTCTACTTCGTAATCCCCTTAAAATTCTATTCTCTTTTAGTTCGTTCGTATTCCCCGAGTTAGTCCACAGCAGGATAGGCATATCCACATTTTTACGTCGTTATTCCTAGTTTTATTCCAGTATTCCTGTCCTGCTATCTACTTTCGTTTCTACTGGGCGTCCTTTGCCCATTAACAGCCAAGTCAATTTGTTAACTTTTTTTCCCAGAACTCAATGTCCGTTGGTCTTAGACTCCTGGTAATCGTTCTCTTATATCATTCCAATAA